TAGCTCAGAAACAGTACTATATAACATTTTAGACACATTCTAGACAGTTTATCAGCTAAAAAAAGTTAATTTTGGGGTAAGTTACTCTTTAATCTACTGTATATTATCATTATGAGGGCTAATAATGATTTTTCAGTTTTTCAGGGCTCTGACCTGCAGCTACAGTGTAACCCACAGAAATCAAAATCTGTTTTTAATTGTAAATAAAATTTGAAATTATCGTTTTGCATTAATTGGGGTCCGTGGTTGCAGGGTAAGAGGATTTGATCTGAAAGCGAACAGTCATGTCGATGTTTGTTGTTTGTTTTCACGCACACCTTTCATAGCCTCTGAGACACATGAAGCTACTGGGAAAACCCTCCCACTGCAGCACACATCACAGCATGAGGTTTCATCCCTGTGGAGTCTACACTGCAGAAAAATCAAAGCCCTCCAATATCCACAATTATTTTTTCCACTGGCAGAGTGGTTAGGTGTCGTCCTGAAACCAGAAGGTCGCCGGTTCGATCCCCCGTCCAACTGTCTCATTTGTTGAGTCCTTGGGCAAGACACTTCACCCCTAATGCCTCTGATGTGTGTCCCATCAGTGTATGAATGTGATTGGCACTGATTAGTCTCCATACATGATTGTACATGTTAGCTTTGTAGAGACCTAATAGAGTGCTGTGTGAATGGGTAAATGAGGKCACAGATTGTAGTGTGAAGAGCTTTGAGTGTCCTGGATGGATAGAAAAGCGCTATACAAGTACAGCCCATTTACCACGAATCTACACAGTTGTAAAGTAACTAAGTACAAATACTTACGGTAAATAAAATTAAATAAAATACTTTGTTACGGTACTTAAGTAGAAATTTTAGTTATCTTTAGTTTTTAGACAACTTTTTACTTCTACTCCTTAAGGCCCTGTCACACTAGACAACTTATGAACATTTTAAAGACATCTACATTGAAGTTGGAATTGAAACAAATAATCAGGAAGCTTCTTTTTCGGCGTGTACATAATGTAATTCAAACTGATCAAATACACAACTTTTATACATAATATATACTTTAGACATAAAAATATGTTTCATAAGTTAGTAAAAGTTGTCTAGCGTGACAGGGCCTTTACATTTTAAATAAAAATTAAGAAGTATAAAGTCATCACTTCTATTTCATTTTGGCCAGTTGTTTTTTTAAAAAATCCTATCCAGATATATGGCCAGTAGCAGTTCTTGACCATAAAAATGAGTGGGGCGGACACACTACAGAACAAATCAGAGCCGGGCCGGGGTCGGGGCAAATGACTGGGCCCTTTATACCAAATAATAAAACTCATGATAACATCATTTTACAACATATACATGCCTGCAACAGCAGGGCTTATAGCTTCAGCACAGAGAGTGACTGTCATTTTGAAGTCCATCAAACGGACATTAAGTGTAACAAATCAAGAAAACAAAACATTCAACTACTAATGACAAAACAACACAAAGTCAAAGCAGTTAAGCTCCACAGATAGAACACCAGCTTTATCTATTTCAACTCAGAGCCTGTACCTTAGCAGTAACTATAAATTGAGTAAAACAGGCATAACGGCCCACATGTGCAAGTCCTCTCAGTCTCTTGTCCCACTGTTTCCACAAAAGCAACATATCAAGTTGTACGGATTGTCTGTGATTTTTTTCCTTATTTTGCAGATATACTGACGTATACCAATCTCAGCAATTTTTTTAATTTTACAGATTTTTTCAAAAACTTGGTATCAATTTTATTCAACGTGTCAAGCCTGTAGGTTGTTAAAAAGCAATAAATAACATGAAATAACCATCTTCACTCTGCCACTGTAAGTTTCCCCCTCCTCATTTCTTCCTGCTCTGCCTTGCCTCAGGTGCTGTCATCTCCTCGGCCGACAATGCGCCTGTACCCCCCCCCCCCCCAACACACATGTGTGTGTGATTAATACTGATTTTTTTTTAACTGAAATTATGGTAAAGTTGAAGGGGTTGATATGTGACAACGTATGTTGTGAATTGGTGCTTTATAAATAAACTGAATTGAATGTATGGAAGTGGTGCGTTTTAACTTAGAGAATGAGTGCTCAGAGGTTGAAACGGTGAGTGGAAGAGTTACAAATAAAAGGAGGGCAGTGCAAAACTCACTGAACAAGTTACTGCTGGATGGAAGCATTTTTGCCAGATCCGCAAAAGATTTTTGTTTGTTATCTGGTCCCTGGAAGAGGTTCTAAGACAAAGCAGACCAGACTCTTCTAGATGAATTCAGGGGAGGGATTGCTTATTCCATCTTGCCTCAGGTGTGGTAGAGGGTTGGCTCCCTACTGGTTCTGAACCAGTTTGGTCTCATCGGGTCCAGTGCAAGGAGCTCGGAGAAGAATATGCAGGAAATGCGAGATGGAACAATAAATCCAGTGAAAAATGTGAAAATCTGTGGAAGATGGACTAAACACAGTTGAAACTGCATTGTTGACTTTTTAAAACTTCTGATTTCAGAATAAAATGCACGTGTATTATGTGTGTATGAATATGTTGCTGTAAGAAATTGTCCAGTCTCTCAACACTTCTCAAAACTTAAAAGTAACTAGACATGGGTTTTTACGATGTAAAAACAAGTGTGCATTGCCATGTAGCATGTCATTGCAGCATGGCTTTGCCTGCAGCAGTGGACTTGCAGAATGAACTGTGACCAAGTTCAAATATGTTTTCTATACCAGCTTGTGCCTGTCAAGTCAGCAGGTATTTGTAATGAGGATAATTGTGTGACAAGATGAAGTGTGTAGAGATTTTTTGTTAAAGTTGCTGTAGCTGGGTTTTAACCCTGATCTCCCACATGAAAGCCCATGGTATTAACCATTAGACCACTGGAGCTGTGGCAGAGGGGATTGCCAGGAGTTGGTTTGTATGTGTGCAGAAAGAGGCCACATCACCAATGCAATATTTGACACTAAACTGCAATATATTACAACAATAGGACAACATTAAGACAGTATTACAATAAAATATCAAAATACAATCATATTAATATTGTAATCAATGAACTACTGAGTTTAAATATTATTAAACTATGGTGCAGTACCATATTGTGTAGATACAGCAGGGGGCAGTAATGGACCAATACAAAGCTCCATTGACTGCAATTGAAATGTATTAAACATAAATACTTCAAAAACTATAAATTTTACAGGTACCAAAAGGCATAGCCATCATTTGGCACAGGGGCTTTACAGATATAAATTACAATGGCAGCTCTAGGACAAAGTATGCAGGAGGAGAAGCATGCCAAAGCTGAGATGACTTGGATGGGAAACGAATCACAATAGTGTGCATTGCATTGGCAATGCACACTGATGATGAATCATGAGTCCTTTTTCTAGGAAGATGAAAACTGTACCTCTCAGTGGTAAAAGTGAGAAACACACACACACACACACAGTAATTTGCAAGTTCAGTAGTTCAAGTTTTCTCAAATAAATGATATTTATTTACAGAATAAAATTAACTACTAATGTACAAACTAGCTGCATGTTTTCTTCTGCTTCCTAATTATAATGATGTATTTTGACAGCAGAAATTTTAACGCCCCAATGAGACTCTATTTGGAGGAGCTGAGTGTACCGATTTACGGAGCCCGCGAGGGCCGTCTGAGGTTACAGGAAATGAGTTTTAACATAAAGGTGGAGCAAATGAATAACCACTGAGGGACTGACAGGTCTCATTGTAGCTCAACTGGGAAAGACACATTAAAGATACAATGGCGTCTCAAAATAATGAACAGATAATAAGAAATCATGGCAGTTATCAAAAAGATACAAGGTGAAATGTCAAGAAAGTTTGAACTTAATGATCAGCAGAGAGGTATAATTATTTTCTAGGACAGATATTTTATGCCATACCCCAGAACATGGAAGAAGCTTGCTGAAGCACCTTAAGACATAAGATTTTTATTTTTCATTATGTTTCTAGAACAAACAATTGTCATATTGCCCTCAATAAGTAAATAAATAAATACAATAATAAAGCTTATAAATGTTGTGATCTCCATTTGTCCTGAAGGTGCAGCAAATGGATGTGAGTATGACTGCAGGGGGGTAGAGTGGGTTGAAGGTGGACAGATGGATTTAACAGCTCTTGGGAAGAAGCTGTTGTGGTCTTTATGCTTCTGTATTGTTTCCCAGATGGTAGTGGTACAAACCATTTGTGTCCTGGGTGTGTGGGATCAGCAACAATACGACTGGCCTTCCTTTGCAGTCTGCCAGCATAAATTGAGTCCAGGTTTGGTAACTGATCCACTGGGCAGCTTTCACCACCCGGGCCTTGACCTCTGTATTTCCAGGTTCCAAGCATTATAAGTAACTCCAGTGTTTCTTTTCAGCCGCCACATGACTTCTTCATGCCCCCATTCCCAAACACCGTGGATTCCCCTCTGCCCAACAGTATCTCATCCAGCTGCAGCAAACATTCGACACAGATTTCAGTCAAACCTCTGGATAGAAGTCCTTCATCTGAGTCTTACTGCAGCGCCACATACAACAGCAGCGTGGAGCCCACTGCTGGTTACCAGTTCAACCAGTATGGTTCCAGTAAGTCCTCTTTTATTTTATGTCTTATTGACCCTTTTGATGATTTTATATGATTTGAATGGGTTTGCATTGACATTTGAACCATTTACATGTTTATATGATCTCATGTGATGTTTTATAATATTTAAAAAGTGGTGACATCATCAAATCAGAGGTGAGTTGGTCCCAGCTTGACCTTCAATAGAATTCAGTTAAAAAGCTCATTTTAAAATCTTTGTGGACAAAAAGACACAGTTATCTCCTTGTTTGTGTTTTGATTATCCACATCTGCTGATTGATGAAAGGTGGGTAATAATGATCTTGCTTGTGTGTGTACTCATTTGTGTGTCTGTTGGCAAAATGTCTCATGAACCACTGAGTAAAACTTAATGAATGAATGAAAGTACCTGCCATAAGAGCACGTTTATTTCACCATACCAGCTTGTTTGATTTCTGACAAGAATAATATTAAAAACATGTCTATACAAATGATAAAAGCATAAACAACACAACCGCTTGAAACTTTAAATTTTAATACAGACAGATTTTTATTTAAAATTGAACTTCTTTCTCTCACTTCATCCTCAAATACTAGCAGAAAAAAAATCTCCGGTCAGCCTGCAATGCATTATGGGATATGGTGGGCCAAGAAGAATCCATTGGACCCATTCCTGAAATTGGGGAAAAAGGAGCATTTGTTGGCCGCATCGGAGGATTCTTTGAATTCGAACAGCCTCTGGCTCTCGATGCTGTGACATGAGCAGCTGACAAACTCAGCCTTCAGAGGATACAGACCCTTTCATGAAAGAGTTAATTGTTGTGGATCCCTGGTGTTTTTAAAAGGCAGATAAGAGGCTTTCTTTCCTCCTAAATATTCAACCATACCAGTAACATAGTTTTTTGTTGTTGTTGATGTTAGCAAACTTAAAAAAAACCTGTTAAAATCTCTCTTATATTCAAATCATAAATAGACAAATGTCCGTATTGAAAAACTTGTCAAAAAATAATAATCCCAGCTGAGAGGATGAACTTTTCCGTAATTGACATTTATGTCATAAATATGCCCCATGAACTGAATATAATTCTACTTAAAGCGTGTCTCCAAGTCTCTACATTTCAACCCCTTCACAATCTTTTCACATTTCTTGCTCACATGGTTTTTAGCTCCTATCGTTAGCTGCGCTCTCAAGGTAGCTGGGACATCAGTCTTTGAGCATAGAGTATAGACAATGAGACAAAAGTCTTAATTCTGACTAGGCTAATGGCTAGACCTATTATGTCTAAACTTTTTGACAGACAAGCCTGAACTGGTAAAGTGAAAGTACTTGTGGTCCACAAAAACTTGACTCTGAACAGGATCTGTGGGGGCAGCCATGATGGAAAAATAAAAGAAAGAAAAGCCAGAAGCCACTGATCCAGAATCTTCTGAGTCACTGCTTGACATAGGGGCAGCAGAAAGGATTAGAAACAGCACATAACAGTACTTTAGGCACAAACACACTAAAGCGTAAGCCTCAAGGCCTCCACACACTCCATCCGAAGCCGAACAGTTGAAGCACAGCCACGTGGTGATTCAGAGTTTGTTTTTGCACACACCTTTCATAGCTCCTGAGACACACCAAGTCGAGCTCCTGGGAAACCCTTCCTGCTGCAGCATACGTCACTGCAGGGGGTTTCTTCCCACTGGAGTCTACAATGCGGGGAAAAAATCTGAGACCCGTCGTTCGACATTATTTGTCCACAAATGTGTCCCAGTTAAAGCAATGTCTGTTTTGTCTCCATCTATGAGTTTTTGGACGCATCACTATCTTTATAAATGTCTGCTTCCTGGTAGCCTAAAACAGTCAGCTTTTGGAAGTTAGTCTTTTTTTTTTGTTTAGTTTTTTTTTGTTTGTTTTGGAAGAGAGTGGTTGAAGCAAAATTCAGCTTCCAACCACTTTCAACATGAACAAATACTCCCACGAACTTCTGACCAATCACACATTCAGTTCTTATGTGGAGGCAGGTGAAATGTTCTGCTGGCTGGTTGTGACAAAACGGGCGGAAGAGTCGACGCTGAGAACACGGTAACAAAATTTTCTTCATGAAACTGCGACAGTCCGAGCCAGATTGGAGGGAGAGTGAAGTAGGCTTCAGATGAATAGTTGCTCTTTTAAAACTAAAAGTTGTATCTTAAAAAATCATCTCGAACTATAAGTGACAAACGGCTGCTACACATGCTAATTTATGTTTCTATTATGTTATATTTACGATGCTTATTTATGATTAAAAGATCCTTCACTTCCTGGTTTGAAATTAAATTTCTGAGCTTAGATATGATAAAAGTTGTGAGTGAGCGCTCACCACACATCCTATAGCAGTAAGAGTAAAATAAATCCTAATTTTTATGGAGAAAGGTTTTGAGAATTTTGTCAACATTGTATGATGTTCTGCTACCAAATGTCAGAACAGAGCATTCACGATTGACCTGCATGTTTTATGATATTTTGTTTGGGTTTTTACAAAACTGAAGGATAAAATGAGATTGAAAAACAAGAACAACAGGTGACTATGAGAAGTGGTTTATTTTCTCTTGCATTGGCTGTTCTGCAAAGTGTCTTCTAACACATTCAGACAAACGTCAGATTCTTTTAAGATGGTTTCTAGTTTGTTGTGGAGTTCCTCAGACTGAGCAGAGGATTGGATGTTTGACTGACAGCAGCAGTGAAGCTTCCTCACAATGAGGCAGAACTCGTTCTCTGATATTTGCTCTCGGTGTTAAACGCATCTCCTCCTTGGTTCAGCTGGATATAAGTCCTCTGACAGCAGGATTGACAGACTCGATACGACACGACGTGTATGTTGGGGTAACTGGGAGGAGATCAGTGTGGCATGTCAGTTCAGAGTGGTGTTCACAGAAAGGAAGCTGTCACATCTGTGCTGAGAGGTGAAGTAAAAAAATACCACCTGTGTGTGGGCAGGTCTGTCTGCCAACATGCCATTCAGCCAGACAGATGGGGGGAGCAGTGTGTGTGTGTTTCCTCAGGGCTTAGTGATGGCCTCTAAAAGAAGCTGTTTTCCCTGTCAGCCAGGTGGATATCTTAAATCCCTGTCCTCTGCCTCTGAGATAGACCCTGATTTTACACACTAACCCTCCCGCACAAACACACCAGCTCTTACAAACATCTTAGCTGTTTTAATATTCTCTACTTTCATCTGTCAGATATTTTGCGTATTAACAAAAAAAAAAAGAGTCAAATGTTTGAAGTAAAAGCTGTCTGGAATAAGGTTGGAAAGGATGACGACCCTATTCACTTTTTTCTGTGGAGGTGGAGTTGGGGAGTAGGTAAAAACATTCACTCCTTGCTGTCCTTCCTCATTTGTTGTTCTACAACCTGGAATTCGATTCGATTTTTTAAATTTTGATTACAAGTGTAGCGAGCTGAAAGGGGAGAAACAGTGCACTATTTTACACCTGTTGGGGCACCTGATCAGATTTATTGATCAATATTTATTCACCCTTTTTTAAATCACTCATATTTACCAAAGTGTGAGATCGTATGAAATGCATGGAATTCTTATCTCAGGCCGGAACACTCAAAGACGAGGAGCCAGCTTTGTCTTTTATGGTAATTAATTACAAAAATATAGCAAGAATCAATTTAATTGAATCATGAATAAAAACAGTAAAAAAATAACAACATGAAAGACAAGCAATAAGATTTCTAAAACAATTACAGGTGAAAATGATTGTAGACTTCATGTCATATGTCTAAGTTAAGATCTGGATGTTTAAACATTTACAATGAATGAATGAAATTAATGAAAATGTATTTTTCACAAAGGAAAAATCTGACAGAAACTCCTCTGTTCCAGTAATTAAAAATTACATTTTTCCTCAGATGGTTGGCTTGTCCATCTCAGGTCTTGAAACTTCCAGCTTCCACCAGAAAATCCAACTCAAAACAAACTGGTTTCTTCCAGTTTGCGCTCATTGTTCAGCTGTGTGTTCTAGTCACAACATAGATACCAGAGGYCTCATGTATAAACGGTGCGTACGCACAAAATGTTACGTGCGCCAGGTTCTATGCCCACTTTGGGATGTATCAAAACCAACGTTGCGTGTGTATATTTACGCACACTTTTCACCTGCAGTGAGAATGTGCGGCAGCCACGCAAAGTTTTTCAGCCAACAGTTTTAACTCACAAAGTCRTGAATCTGACCTGAATCCACAGAAATATGACTCTGTTATGTTTTCTGGATGTAAGGAGCGTCTGAACACGCTGTTAGATTGTTTTTTAGTTTGAGTTTTTATCGTTTGAACTGAACGATCATGAAACTGAACCCCAGGACTGAAAATCATTTAACCTCAGACAAGAAAATAGATCAGTCTAAAAATGATCAAATGAACCTCAGTCCAGTCTGTAAACCGTTTTGGGTCTCAGGCCAGAAAAAACCGACACATTACGTGTGACATAAAAAAATAAATAAATAAAAAACGGCTGAAGAGAGAGAGCAAAATCAGATACAAATGGTGGCTCACTGTACGGTTAGAATAATTATTTTTTCTGTTGTCTTCTGGCTGATGCTGAGCTGAGTTGTGGCCGTAGTGCAGCAGCTGCGCTTTGGGTAGATTCTCGCGCCAGGCGCACGCACCCTCGCCAGCTGGGAAGGTGTCAAATATGTCAACCCCTTTGGACGTTTACCTATCTAATGAGACTCAAAAATCTATATTGTTTGCTAAAAATCCATAGGCTACCACTTGTACCCGCGCGTGGGGGTGGGGTGGGAGTCTGTACGTGGAGATGACAGCGCCTGCTGTAACGCAGGAGGAAAGGAGAGCAGAAAAAATGGATAACGTAATGTTTACTGTTTTTTATTTCATTTTTATTTATTTTTTAAACGTCCGTTCAACGCCGCGTTCAACTAAATAGACAACTAACCAGACTTTAGTATCACATTCGGGAGATGTCTGTAAATTTCAGGGAAATCTCAGGCTTTGGTTATCCTGTGCGAATGCACCACATAAAACAATGTCACTCCACTACTTATTTAGACAGTTTTCTAACTCATTCTCCGTTTAATGTATAATTTCCCTGCATCTAAAAATCATTTCTGATCCCACAGAGAGGAATCAGAGGAGAATCTCACACACTGGACACATTTACATCGATTTTACATATTTAAATGGAGGCGTGTCAGGGGAGGTTTCTCAGGTGCGTTAAGTTCCACATTCACTGAGATGTATAAAGGAAAGCTGCGCAGGAACATGCGTAAGCATGGTTTTATACATCTGAATATTTTAGTGCGGCGCACATTTCTAAATCTGTCCGTAACTTTTAGTGTGAAAGCTACGCAATCCTTTATGCATGAGGCCCCAAGTCTGTCAGAAAAACATAACATTTATTTTGGGAAAGATACATCATGTTTACAGGACAAATACTAAATACCTTTGTAGAGTGCTTTAGTAACGATCCATCCTGTCTTTTATTTTCTCCCAGCTGCTGTGGACTACTTGACAAAGAACATCAGCCTCTCCAACCAGCATAAGATGAAGCTGCCTGATCACTCAACTGTACTAGGACTCCTGCAAGTGGAGACTGGTCAGGCTTACTAAAGTTTTAAAGATGCAGGTACCACCAGGACAAACCAGACCTCCGGCAACAACACATTTATAAGTGCTGCAGCTGATGTTGAACTCTGATAAAGGTTCCATATTTTTCACTTGTCTTCAGAATGTGTGTCAAACAATCTGATTTTAGTTCTGTGTTGCTGTAGTGCCTGTAGTTTAAACAGAGATCAGAATCAAAATCAGTTTTATTGCCGTTGTCAGTGAACATTCACAGACTAGGAACTTGCAGTTAGGAACACCCATTCTTTTTACACACACATAAACATGGGGAGAGCGGAAGATCAGGTCTTGCGCCACATGGCCGCGCTACCTTTTGCAGCTTGGAAATACACAATGAGATAGATAAGTTAAAAAAAAGATGCTCGATGTTTACTCATAAACACAGAATCATACGCACAAAAAAAAAAAAAAAAAACGACACGCGAGAGCAAGACAGCTAAGGATGGGAGGGGGCTGGTGATCAAACACATGGTACGGGGCCAGGAGTTAGTTGAGCTGGTGACATTTTAATACTAAATGCTGGAACCAATCCAAGGCCTGGACCCGCCAGAGTCCAGAGAAAGATGCGTTCACACCGAACGCGATTTCAGCGTCAGGAGCAGCAGGTTTACATACAAAGTCTATGATGGACGCGCTTCAAGCAACGTCGGGAAGTTCTGCGGCGCCTCAAGCGCGATTAGAGCAGCGCGATTTGAACGATCTGAGCGTTCGACGCGCCGAGGCGCAAATCGCTGAAGTTAGAAAATCTGAACTTTTGCAGCTCGAAGCGCAGCGTCAACCAATCAGAGAGACTCCACTGTGTGACGTAGCGAYATATTTCCCGACGGGACAGTTTACTGAATGATGTCCACTAACCTGAAGCTGAAATCCAGTGCCTGCAGTCGTGTCCTGATCCGCAGCAATGCATGACAGCGACTCATCAGACTGGAACAATAGTCCTGAAAGTGAGCTGTGAGCCTCTACTCTGAATTATCTGGTGAATTAATTATGAATTAATTATCTGATGAACGTGACATGCTCTTGCTCTCTGTAAATAAAGCAAAGCCACTTCCTCGTCCGACATTAAACAGAGCCCGACAGAGGAGGGAGGGGCGGGGAGGCTCTGCCGTGCAGCGCTTCAACAGCTGTCCTGCGTCTGACCTCAAAGTGCACAAGCTTCAAACTTCAGCGTTGGCTGCGATTTTGAAGCTGAAATCGCGTTCGGTGTGAACGCACCCTCTCACGCTCAGTCCCAGAGTTTACSGTTTCCCCTTTCTTGGTCACCACAGCCTTCAGACTGATCCATACGGATGATTTGGGGATAGGGAGTGGGGAATCAGGCCTTTGTTGACATATCCATCCAGGGAAGTTTGATAACTGCCGACCGACCAAGGCCAGCAGCTGCTGGGATCTAAAGATAAACATAATTGTTTTGGGACTAGCGGCCTCGAATTTCTTGCCACTTTACAGTTTTAACTGCATCTCTGTATTGGCGAAAAAATGCAGAATGTTCCAAATTTCATCACCTCCTCACCTCTCTTTCCATCTGAAACTTCACCCAGGTGTAATCCTACATCTCATGAGAACACTGCTGGGCTGCGATTCTCAACAGAATCACATCCAGTTTGCGACTTATCTCCCCCAGCATCTGGGTCTGTGCGTTTCCAGTACGGGAGACTCTATCCGTGGTTCCTGACAGCCTCTGACAGACAGGACCGCTGTCAGGATCGCTTTCATTTTCCGATAAGCCAGAACTCCGCCACAGCTGATCAGCAGAAATTCAACTATAATAAATCCAAAAATGTACAAATCTTCAACGTCTTCAATGGAAAGCAGCGCCAAACATATCAGGTTCCAGCCCCAAGAACCAGTGACCTGACCAGCAGCAACCATTCCACTGGGACAGCTACGCTCCCCTCGTTCCAATCTCAATATGGAAAAAATAGTGTTGACTGCGTTCAGAGACCAGTTCACCAAATCCATAATTACTTTTGATTTCGGATGATAGGTAGAAGAAAAGCTTGAAAAAGCTGCGAAGCAGGAAAGGAGGGACAGGTTCGGGAGAGAGAGCAAAAAGTGTCTGACTCCTCTGAAGGCCAAAAAAAAAAATGCTGCCAACTCTGCTTCTTCAGGTGATCCCGATGCTTGACAGAGACCAACAACCAGCAGGAACAGCTCAGCACACTAAACACAAGACTGTTTAACAATTGGTTTTGTTGCTGAATCCTATTAGTTATTTTTTCAAATATATATCATGCTCAGCATCATCAAATGTTTGTAAGTTGTTTCAGTAGTATGCTAGCCGGATGGATGCCAAGGATTTTATGAGAGGATAGCAGCATTTTGGTGCACTTTTCAGACTTGTTACATAAATGTAACAGAAGGCCTAGCTTTTTTTAAAGAAATGATTATCACTGCCTTTTGTGGAAAAGTATTAAACTGAAATCATCATCTGCTGAAAAGAGACAGATTGTAGTATTATGTTAAATCTTGGAAATGCCATATTCTCAGTGACATATGACTGGCCGTGGGAAAACCAGCAACAAGTCTCCCTGGGGGTGTTTTGAGTTATTTACAGAATCTGAAAGTGTGGGTTCTAAGCTTTCCAAAAATAGCTGCGTTTCCATTGCAAATGTGCACAAAACTTTGTCGATATTCTGTTAATGTCGAAAAAACACAGTTTTGCAATTGCAGTGTTTCTATTAAGTAAGAAATGCTATTAAAGTCATGCGCGAACACGTTTGTTCTCGCGATAAGTCATTACAAACATGGTGGCAATGGATGTAAACACATAGCATGTTGCTACCACGACACTAGCGCTCATCAGAGGAGACGTCGGCGTCTTATCAAGGCTTTTGAGTGACAAGCCCCTTATGGTGCGTTCACACCAAACGCGATTTCAGCRTCAGGAGCAGCAGGTTTACATACAAAGTCTATGGTGGACGTGCTTCAAGCAACGTCGGGAAGTTCTGCGGCGCCTCAAGCGCGWTTAGAGCAGCGCGATTTGAACGATCTGAGCGTTCGACGCGCCGAGGCTCAAATCGCTGAAGTTAGAAAATTGGAACTTTTGCAGCTCAATGCGCAGCATCAACCAATCAGAGAGACTCCACTGTGTGACGTAGCAACATATTTCCCGACGGGACAGTTTACTGAATGATGTCCACTAACCTGAAACAGACGGAGCGGAGCTCTTTAGCTGAAATGAGTGCCTGCAGTCGTGTCCTGATCCGCAGCAATGCGTGACAGCGACTCATCAGACTGGAAAAATAGTCCTGAAAGTGAGCTGTGAGCCTCTACTCTGAATTATCTGGTGAATTAATTATGAATTAATTATCTGATGAACGTGACAYGCTCTTGCTCTCTGTAAATAAAGCAAAGCCACTTCCTCGTCCGACATTAAACAGAGCCCGACAGAGGAGGGAGGGGCGGGGAGGCTCTGCCGTGCAGCGCTTCAACAGCTGTCCTGCGTCTGACCCTCAAAGTGCACAAGCTTCAAACTTCACCGTTGGCTGCGATTTTGAAGCTGAAATCGCGTTCGGTGTGAACGCACCATTATACTTGGGAGCGGCTATGTATGCTGTGTTTTTGGGAAATTGTGGTCGGTGAGTTTACTTCTTTCTTTTACAACTTCGGTGATTTCACTACTACTTTTACTTCCTGTTATCTTCTTCTTCTTCGTCTTTTTCGCCAGTAGAAACAGCCGGTTGTTGATCACGTGACTCCCATGATGCGAAAAAAGTGTTTCCATTGCAGTTTTGCGAAAAACACCAATTTCGATACGGCCGAAAAACCACCTTACTCTAGCGCAAAAACTTTTTGTCGAAAAATGTATTTTTTTCGAAATTGACGTGTTTCTATTGAGCAAATTGATTTTCRAAATTCTAATTTGCGCATTTTCATGGTCAATGGAAACGCAGCTACTGTCAAACACATGACAATCAGAAAAAACTGAAAGAGATATGAATATTTGAATGTTGTAAATTTGCAAACAAGATTCAGGAGAAAACAGGCCTTAAAGTTTCAGAGGAACTGTCCCCACCAGAGGGCGCTTCTTGGGTGTGTTAACAATGACTGTTCATTTACACTAATTTGCATTAACCCCACCCCTTAGCACTGACTGTCACCACAGGTAGGCTCTAGGAAAGTGTGCAGACAAAAACTCAAAAGGCTCACAAAACAGAAGCTTGGTTTTTGTAACACAACAAGCACAATTATTATTTAAAAGGTACACACAATTTTAATTCAAGTCTATTTCACACCATCATCAGGATTAAAATAACAAGTATCATACTACCTGCTAAAATATAAATAGCTGTTTTACATTGTAAAACACTTGTTTAAATTTCTAGCAGTTCTAGACCAAATTTATCTGGGGGAACAAGATGGTGTTGTGTTGTGTTTTTTCATGGGGGCACACAAGGCAGAAGCAAAAAGTGCTACACCTTCATTT